TTACAGACTCTTATCAACATTTTTGGGATCTAACAAAAGCTGGGTTTACGCCTTTTTTTCCTCTATGGACCAGCAAACTTGTCTTTGACTTTTTTTTAATGATATGGACCCAATCCTAATGTAAGACCTAGTCATGGAGGTCAAATGGATGCTAGAAATCTGGGCACTTTATCTGCTCAGGCAAGTATTTGGTGTGATGGGGCCGGGGTAAGGGAGTTTTAAACAGTGGCATCATTTCCTTCTATTCAGTATTAGTTTGTCCTTTTCTGAAGCCAATGAATGGAATGAGTCACCCCTCTCTTTAAGCAAATGAATTGCTTCATAACTTTAACTTGCCTTTTTGTAGGTGTGTGAAGGCAGTGCTCTTTATTTTTACATAAGACACAGAAATTAATAGGTCTTTTTTTTTATCCTGCAGCATATCCCAAATTAGTAAATGTTTTCATCTCTTGAGATTTGATTGGCAACCAGCTATTAAAGCCTTGAACACTGCTGATAAAAGGATGAGAAGGCCAAGGAATGCATTCTCCTTATTTCATTCTGTGTAAAATGCATTATGTTAGAAAATAACCACAATGCTAAAATATTATTGTATATTCAAGGAATGTATGGATTTGTATATTTACAACATTATATACTGCCATAAGGGCCTATATGATTCCCAATGATTAAAAACAGTAAAACAGTTGATTGGTAAGAGCTGTTAAAAACAGCAAATTAAATAACACCTAATGGTGCTCATTCCTGATATTGTCAATTAACTCTCAAATATTCCCCAGAATAGTCTTGTTTTTGCAGCCTTTCCAGGATAGGGGTGCCAAAGGGAAAGGGTAACAGCAGGGGGGGAAAAAACCCTGCCTCCAGAGCCTCCCTGAAATTGTGTGGTAAGATTTTAAGCTTTGCTTTCTGAATTAACCATATGGAGCAAGCTAGTTCTACTTGAAGGAGGTAGTCTTGAAGATAGTTGGGAATCACACTATGAAGAATTCTAGAGATTAAAATCAGCACTTGGATCTGTAAACTATAAATTTACTGGAAAAGTTGGTCGGATGAAATCCCTAACCAGTAAGGGAGAAAATTATGTTTAAAAGCAGCCCTATATAAATACATTGCAATAGACCAGCTTTAAGAAACATGACAGGAATAACTGTTTGTTAGTTCTCTGAACTATCATTCAATTGAATGAATCATCCAACAACAAACAAAACCAAGAATTAGGCTGGGCATTTAATAAAAATGTTAATTACATATATCTCAGTTCTGTTAAGATTTTGCAGCTTAGTGACAATGCAGCTAGATCTATATTTAATCTTGGACATTTATATACTATTGAAAATCTAATTGTCATGACCTGCAAAACGATGTATCACAGGGTAACAAATATTAAATCATTATGAATGGGATAACTTACGGAATGTGTCCAGAATCTGGGATCCATGGTTCCCAAGGGAATAAAATTTGAGAAAGTGGTGGCTGTTTCAGTGCTGACTGTTGCTATGCTGCTTGGCTGCTGGTCCAATTATGTGATTTTCATTTTCAACATTCTGTGACAGTTTCTCAGCCAGTTTAGCAATCCCTCACTTCCTTTCCCCCACCAAGCAGCAATTACATACCTGTCTGCTGGAAGGGAAGGGACGGGGAAGTAACCCTGTGCACCTTCCCAGACCGTGCCAACTTCCAGATGTGCTTCCAGACCTGTGCCTTCCCTGATCTATGCCCCCTGCCTGAGTGCTTTCCTGACCCATGCAGCACCTTTTGGGTACCCCCACACACCTTCCCTGATCCATGCCATTCCCCAAGCACTCTCCCTGATCCATGCAGTACCCAAATGGCTTTCCTGATCCGTGCCATACATCTTGAACACCACACACACTCCCAAATCCTTATTCCTCCCATGCATTTTCCCTAACCCATGCTCTACCTCTTATACACCCACACCCTTCTTAACTGGCCCTCCCGCATGCCTTCCCTGACCTGCATGGCACTTCAAACCACACCAGGCCCCAGCGCACCTCTCACATACCCTTGTTAACCTCATGCATTCTTCTTGGCCCACACTGCCCCAAGGAAGGAAGGAAAGATTTCTACTGATCTCTGCCAACTTCCCACAAGAAACTCAAAATGGAGGCCAGCAAGAAGCCGGAAGTCACTCCCGCTGCTTTTTTTGCCCACCTAGTGTCATTCTGTTTCTGTTTAGATAAGGAAATATCTCTGAAACAATGACCCAACAGGGCATGGATTATCTAGTGTCAAAGAAACCCTAGAATCTGTCAGATGCAAGTAACCTGGAACAGAAGTTGAATTCAAAGAACTAAAAGTTTATTATATGCAACTTATACACAAGAATCTGATCTACTAATGGTCAGACCAAATTGGCACTAGATAAGGGTTAACAGAATTCATAGGGAGCTGGACTTGGGTCTCTCGTGGAAGCATAGCAACTCCAAACTAATGATGCATTAGACCCCGCCCTCAGGCTCAGCCTGTTCATCTTCTACACAGAATCATTCCTATCTGATACTTTGAACAGATTCTGCTTTTTAGTATATCCAATGTAGGCAACCTATGGCACTCCAGATGTTGCTGAATTAAAGTTCTCATCATTAGCATCCAAATATATTAGACTATAATTTCCATAATTCCAGACAGCAATACTTGGCCATGTCTCCTAAGGATTCTAAGAATATAATTGAGCAGCATATGGAGCCAGTTTGTCTGTGTTAAGACTTTCTAGATATCTTCTAGGCCAGTTGTATTAGATTAAATCCTATTATCCCAGGGAGCAAGTTGTCTAGGAAAGATGGGTCTTCCAACACATCTGGAAATTATAGATACTAGCTGCAAGAGCAGGTGTTGAAAATGCGGAGCTAGAAAGATTACTAACTGATTCAGTATCCACACACAATTCTAAGACGTGGTTGGAAGAAGAAAACACTGACTGGATAACAGTTAGTGACAGTCTATACTATTGTGGTTTAGAAACAACAATGGCGAGGCAAAATGGGTATTTCAACACACTGAGGCAAAACAAAATTATTCTCAATATTTTTCAGAGTGATTTTTTTTTGAACCAGGCTATTGTGATTTATGTGCCATAGTTTATGGTTTTAATATTAAGGGCATATTCAGCTATAATAATGACCTCATCAAACCATGGTTAAAAAGAAGCATCAGACAACTATGGTAAGATTAGATTTAAGGATAAAGTCTTATCAAAGGCTATCTAAGGAACCTGATGGATGAACATGGATGTTTTAAAGCAAAATAAAATAGTACAACTTTCTCCTGAATTTGATAAGGTGTTTCAGATTTCAGGTGAAATCCACCCGCAATTATGGGAGTAATATTCGGTATACTGTACAAATCTACTGCAAAATCCTACTGATTCATGGAATTTACTCTTGGATAATATATTTACATCTAGAAATTTTGCACACTCTTCAGTCCTCTGACTTTGTTTGGATGTTAGTTCCATTTTCATGGGGTACATAAAAAATTAAAAAGTAATTTTTTTAACCTTCCCTTCAGGGGAGCCTGAACTCTTGTACAAATGACAAAATTGCCCTATAAACGAAGCCAACAGACATCATACAGCTCATTGAATAATCTGTAAAATATGTATCATAGGTCAGTGACTAAGAATTTAATCCCTATGCATTTCATCTTGGAAGTCCATCGGCCTTAGCCTCCAGTGAATGCACATATGAATTGGAGTCTTAATCTACTATCTAAAATCATTACAGTACTTGGGCACACTCAATTCCAGACTTTCCCCCCTTTTAGAACAAATGTTAGAAGCTGGAAGACACTTCAAGGTGCCATTTAGCCAAACCGAAATACTACTATAGCATCCCATCTCCTGATCAACAAAATGGTGGGGTAGAGGGGAAGCAGGTATGAATTATTTTTGAAAGATTATGTTCCAAAGTTTGAGTTTACCATTGGGGGAGGGTTGTTGGACAATACAAGCCCAATTCTGATGCTCTTAGATAGCTAAAGTTTCTGGAAGCATTTCAATTTTATAATTTCATATTATATTATAATATTATAGTCATTATCAGATAGAAGTGATTTGCCAGGAAGTCTTTCTCAGCTCCCCAGAGGCATACACAGCCCTAGGTTATCTTGGTTATTTTCTGTCCAACTACGATGCAAATAGAATCTTGGTTAGCTTTTTCGCAATCGCTCAAAGTCAACTGGAGGTTAAAATCAGACGCCCTTTTAGAGCATTTTGCAAAACAAGACATGTTGCCATTTCTTTCTACATAGGGAGGAACCAGCTTGAAGTATAATCAGTCAAAATAAACAAGTTATAAATGTATCTTATAGAGATGATTTAATCCTATTGGCTATTCAGTGAAACTAAAATAACACAGCCTACATTTTGGCATTATCAGAATTTGACATGAATTATAAATGTAGCAGTTAAAGTACTGTAGAAAGAGGCAGACTCGAATTCTAATCACCATCAACCATGGAAACTCTCTGAGCTTGGTTGTTTTCTTGCAGACATTTAATTACCCAAACTAGGTGACATCATCAGTACTAGTTCACTAGGTAACAGTGATGTTACCTAGATGGGTAATGAAATGCGTGCAAGAAAACAACCAAGCTCAGAGAGCACCAAGGACCCCTCATTTCAACCCTGAGCTACAAATATTCTCCTTTAGTGGAAACTCTATGAGTTGACCTATTGGTTATTATTAGAAGAGAGTGCCTTTTGCTCCTGGAGAAAAGTTGGAGTATAAATCTGATAAATAAATAGTTCCCTTCCCTTATTTAAACGGTAAATATCTATGGAACAGAAATAAAGCTTTAATTCAATCATTTTTATTTCATTTTATTCCAATAGTTAAGGGAGGAAGAAAAATTCATATGAAAGTAATTCCAAGAAAGTTGTATATTTTTATCTAGGTACATAGCAACAGCATCAATACAAAAATAAAATCTTCTTATAAAGGTGTAGTTAATAAAACAGTTTTGAGCAAAGGCCATTTCAAGTCTATTTCACTTTGGATGAAAGAGCCTGTTTGAAACGTCTCTTGAGGTCTTGCACGTTTGGTGATTTGGGACGTGGGATGATGGATGACCTTCTTTTGTCCCGGCTGCCATAACTGTGCTGTTTACTAACTTCTTTACAAAGATATTGAAAGACATCACGTACACCTTGATAGTTATCACTTGTTGAAACTTCTAGAAACACAACACCCAGTTCATTGGCCAACTGTAGGCCATCATTTGCTGCAACCTGTCGGGAATGCATCAAATCCCCTTTGTTCCCTACGATGATGACTGGGATTTTTGAGTCAGGGCGAATCTTCTGGATGTGTAGAAAAAGTGGCCGAATGAACTGGTAGCTATGATGGTCGGTAACTGAATAGACTAAGAGAAAGCCATCTGCCCACTTGAGACAACCAGAAACCGAATCCAGCATCTGCGGCAAGTCTTGTTGGTTCTGAAAAGGAGGAGTGGTTATTTGCATACATTTATAAAGAACAGAAAGGGTTTCAATTGCAACTTCTTTCAGTAAAGAAGCTCATCTCACAGTTGAACTATTCAGTGTTCAACCTTGATCATCATAATACAATACAGTTGGATGACTGGAGGCCACAGCCTTGAAGCATCAAAAGAAACAATGCTCTTGTGAGTGCTCACACTTAATCCCAAATGGATCATTAAAAGGTCAAATGCATTTCTTCTAACGCAGATGCTCCCAGCACTACCCAGAGCAACAAATATCCATAACTCCTATTAATGCTGTAACAAAAATGCAAGTATTTCTTGTATTGAGCCTAGGAGCTCCATACATATTAAGCCACACATTTTAAATAACCCAAGAAATGGTAAAATATTCCAGGGATTGCAGTCCTAGGAAAATTGAACTGGGGCACTTTGATTATTTGAGATTTCTTTCTAATATATCTAGAATGTGTGTCTGCCAATTACATCCTAATTTGATTAGAAATCCAAATTTATGGGATACTTCAGATTAAAAATTTTGAGAACTGGTAAAACTACTGGGAGTGACAACAATATTTTACTCCCTGGTTGTTTGTTAAAGCAGTAAGAACTATAATTTTACAGGTAGTCCTCTACTTACAATTCATCACTTAGCAACAGTTCAAAGTTACAACAGACACCCCCCCAAAAGCTACTTCATCCAAGTTACAATATCCAGTGTCCCCCCCAGTGGTCACATGACAGAATTTTGAGCACCTGGCAATCAGCCCACATTTGCAGCACCCCATGGTCACCTATCCACAATTTACCATCTTTTTTCTGGAAACTGGTGTTTATCTTTGGTTTCCACAAGAAAAGACCCCATAGCAAACATGGGTTTGCTTAATGACTGCAGCATTCATTTAACAACCAATGTGTTCAGTTAATGACCACTGCAAAAAAGATCAAAAAATCAGGTCTGGTCATCTGATGACCAGCTTTACTAGTGTAAGGACTTACTACTGTAATTGCCTGGCTATATTACAGTCGTAAGTTGGAGATTCTTTAACAATGAAATACTGCTTTAAGCAGCAAGAAATATTGAATAAATGAAGCAAGATGATTACATAATAAAAGCCTAATCAACGTTTCCTATGTTTGTTTCCCTCGTTGTAAAAAGTAATTTGAGGCAATGAGCAAATAAAAATAAAATGAATAAATATGCCATAAAAAGTCCACTGTGTTTCTGCAACCACAGAGAAGCAAATCCCATTTGGCCATCAGAACCAACATATTTTAAGATTGTTTTTGTACCTCCATGCATCCTGGTGTGTCTTGGATCTGCAGAAAAATTTGATCACCTTCTATATGAACAAGTCTTGAATACAGATTCCCTGGAAAAATAAACATGAAAGTAAATGACAAACTTGCACAAAAGTGGAACAACCCGCCTCCAGAAGTTATGAATGCTCCAACACTGGAAGTTTTTAAGAAGAGACTGAACAACCATTTGTCTGAAATGGTATAGCATAGGGCAGTGATGGCGAACCTTTTAGAGACCAAGTGCCCAAACTGCAACCCAAAACCCACTTACGCATTGTCGGGTGCCGGGTGGGTGTGGCTCATTGGGTGGGTGTGGCCCATTGGGTGGGCATGGCCCATTGGGTGGGCGTGGCTGCGATGGTAAAAGCAGACTGGGTGGGACTAAAAAGTTCAATCAATCAATTCCAACTTTGCAAGATCTTTTTTTTCCCCGCGAGAAGTTGAAATTGACTGATTGATTGAACCTTTTTTTTTTGTACATGGCGGCGGAGGCCTAAAGCGAAAAGGTTTTATAAAACCCAGCTAAAGGCCTAGGACTGGGGCGACGATGTGCGTGCCCACAGAGAGGGCTCTGAGTGCCGCCTCTGGCACCCGTGCCATAGGTTCGCCACCACGGGTATAGGGTTTCCTGCCTGAGCAGGGGGTTGGACTAGAAGACCTCAAAGGTCCCTTCCAACTCTATTATTGTTATTGTTACTTATATTGGTAGTAGGAAATAATCCTGAGAAACAGGACAACTGCTAGTCTCTTCATGTTGGCCCACGACACCCCAGAGGTGGAGACCCCAGAAACCCAATACTGATTGAGGCCCTTAAACCTATCTAAGAATATGACTGCCAACAATTGTATTGGTTTAGTTGCTCCCCATTTTCAGTTGTGGAACATCTGAAAACTGGTGTAAACTTTAGAATTTGATTAAACATGTGGCCAAGATTGCCTAGATTCCACCCAAGTCTTAGGGGAGGGGAGGAAAAATCCTACCCTCACTTATTTCAGATCATGTCCTACCTGCTGCAGCTCTTGTTCAACCCCCAAAACATTAAGTGCAGCCCCAGCCACCATAAACTTGCCTCCCGATTTATGCAGAAAAATCAGTGTGGTGTAATGTAAGACTATGCTTCAGAATGGGATTCTGGAGCTTTAGTTAGTTAGTAAATAGTTTTCAGAGCCTTGTTTCTTCCTCCTTTCTAGGAGGGCTAGGTGGGAAAATACCTGCACTCCCAAAGTTTTCTAGAGGTCCCTAAAGGAAGGGGCCAAAGCAGATTCTTTATGGCATGGATGCCACCCTCACTCAAACCTCACAGTTGGCTGGTGGGAAGGTAGAATTCTTAAGAAGAAAACTCACCAGTGTTGGGTTCATAGTCTCCAATAAATCTTTTGGTGAGGAACCGTACAATCATGGCTGAAAAGAAAAAGAACCTTTTGTTGGTTAAATGAAAGCAGCTGGGGAAAGACTATTATTATTATTATTATTATTATTATTATTATTATTATTATTATTATTAATTATTATTATTATTATTATTATTATTATTATTATTATTATTATTATTATTATTATTATTATTATTATTATTACTATTATGCCACTTAACCATTTCTAGCAAGCATCATGGCTTCCCAGGAGGTGATCCAGAGGAAGGTGACTTGGGCTAGGGCATATGGATTAGGAAGCTAAATGAAGCGCTTTGATGCCTGTGGAAGCGTGGAGGGATTTTCTGTTTAACCCAAGAGTAATTTATGTTCTGCTTGAAGCGAAACTCTTTAACCCACCCAACCCGTTCACAGCTCCCATTTGTCCATCCCAAAGCCCTTCCATACTGCTGGATTTTTATTCAGGGGCTGATGGGCGTTGCATTCCTGCATATCTGGACGGCATTGCGATGGGAAGGGCAGACAGAACTTCACCTGTCAGGATTATTTTCTCCAACATTCCCACCGTTTCCCGGCTTCCATGCTTCCCACAGAGCGCCGTTCTTTTATTATTTCTGGACCATCGTTTTTCATCATCTCTCCTCTGCCCGCGTGCCCTGATTTCAATCACGGCGCGGGATCCTTCCCTTCACACACACACACACACACACCCCATCCCCAAGCAGCCTCGCCTCGCCTCGCTTCCTCGGGACTTACCGCTCTTCCCCACGCCCCCTGTTCCGAGCACCGCCAATTTCACATCCTTGACGAGGAAATCGGAGGGGCATTCTTGGATGGGCGCTAACAGATAATTCTGGGACATGATCGACGAGAACCGCATGGGAAAGGCGAGCCCTCCAGCCCCGCCAAGAAAAATACGGGATCGGCGACGGCGGGAGCGTTTTGCCCCAATTGCATTCAGAGCGCGCAGGCGAGGAACCGGCGCACCATCCAAGCGAAGGGCTGCAGCGGCTGCCGGCGAGCCGCAGATCGCGCGGCGCTTTTAAAGTCAGCCCAAGTGCGACAAGAAGCGCCACCTCCACCCCCGCCCCTCTTTGGAAAGGCCCGGCGCTGCGTACGCACAAGGGCGACGAGCTTTACGCACGCCCCGGTTCCGAGCACCCGCAGCCGTAGACAACAGAAATAGCTGGTGATGGTCAAGAGGCAGCGAGCGGGCGGGCGGGCGGGCTGACTGATGGGGGCAGCGACCATCGCCTGCACAAGGATTTCACCGGTGCATCGTAAAAAACGGGGTTTGATTTTACAGTATTTGGGGCTGGTTTCCGGTGGAGAGGGTGAGCGGCTCTCGGTTGGCGACCCCATTCCGAAAACCACACATTCGTTTCCTCTGGTCCCTTTTTCCACGATTGTGAAATGGGTGGGGATCGCATCATCCTCGCCCCGTTTAGGTTCTCCCGGATAGTCAGCATCGCTCCCCAGTTCACGCGAATGAATGAACGAATGAAGTTTCGGGTGTGAAATCGACCCGTTTTGTGAACGCGTTCTGTTGCTTATCTGTGGAGACATCCCTGGAACGGTGGTTTCGGTCAACCGATTCCATTCGGTTTTTTTTAAATGGAGAGAAGGGAAAGCTTCCTTTAGGACGACTCTTCCTAAAGAGGAGTGTCTTTTGCCAGGTGCAGAGATGTGTCACACAGGTAATCTTCAAAACGTTTCATTTCCGTCATGCCCCCAATTTCCCTAAATGGAGACAACATCCTTCCGAAGTGGTTGTACATTAACATTGCAAATACTGCAATTGCCATGGAAACAACAGTACACGTGGCTTTAAAAGGTCTTAGGGTGTGTATATGTGGAAGGAAGAGAGGTTATTCAGAATACCATTTGTATGTGAATTAAATGTATAGTAATGTATTCATGCAAGGAGAACCTTACTACGATGACAAAAATTGCAAGCCATTCGCAAAAGCATTTTTTTCTAGCACCTATTAGCAAAAACTATTATCAAATGGATTCCAAAAGGAACCACGTATATTGGGGTGGGACAATCTCTGTTTGTTTAATTGAATTTATAAATATGATGACCATATTTTATTGGAAAAAAATAAAGGATAAATTTGAAAGGAGCAAATCCGAAAGAGGTACGTTAGAATAAAAATATTTATAGCATTTAGCAATAGGATTTAGACTGATATACCGCTTCACAGTGCTTTACAGCCTTCTGTTCTGTCCCAGCCTATAGCCGTCCTTGTTAAATGCACAAGGACAAAACCCCTTCTGAGAAATAGGCTGGAGACTCAGAAGAAAACAAAACCCCTTTTAATACTGGTAACAAACCTGCCAAATGGTCCAAAAACAAAAGCAACAAAACACAATCCAAATGGAGGAATTTTTTCCACACAAAACACAATGCAAAACAAGGAATTATTCATCGGCAATACCAACAGAACATGATCCCATGAAGTACTTTGCAACGGTTGCCTTCAGCAACCAGCACCGCCCACACCTTCCCTTTTTATTAAGCAGCCCCAAGGCGTGGCTTCTCAATGCCTTCTCCTCCTCCCTTGGAGTTGCTGTATTGACTCCCTCTGACCTGCTCTAGTTAACTGCCTTTGTTTACAAGCATCTCTAATGACTTCCAGCTGTGAGTCCTCAGAGTCTGACTCATCTTCCCCACACAGCTGTGTCTCATCCTGACCACGATTGGAGGGGCCAGGCTCTTCATCAGATTGTGAGTCTTGTAACTCATCAGAGCCTCCCTCTGACTCTGATGGCTCTCCAAACCCCTCTTCCTCCTCCTCTGATTCCCCGGACCAGCTGCCGAGTCCACTGGCTGACACGGACTCACAACACCTTCTTTAAGCAGTTTACAGAGTCATCATATTGCTCAAAACAATCTGAGTCCTCTTTTACCGACCTCGGAAAGATGGAAGGCTGAGTCAACCTTGAGCTGGTGAGAATCGAACTGCCGAACTGCTGGCAGCCTGCAGTCAGCAGAAGTACCCTGCAGTACTGCATTCTAACCACTGCGCCACCATGGCTCTAAGTTTATAACTTAGTTTTATAAAAGAAAATTCAAGAGCCAGAAATATAAAAACACATATTCTAATAAAGATATCTAAAATCAAACAGCATATGTAACTTTATTTTTAAAAAGACAATTCAGTTTCCATGTGAAAGTCTATATACATTATTAGGTGGCACCATTTATTCAGTAAAAATCAAATGACCAAAATAAAGGACAAAAGTGAGTTTTTGAAAAATAAATAAATCTAAAGAACACTTTTCTGAATAAAGAGCCGTCCTATATTATAAAAGACACATAGTCAATGTAGTTATAGGCCATCTAACTCCTAAGTGACCCTGGCTGGGTTACAATTAAAATACCAAATCATACAGAATATAATCAGCCAGAAGAGTAATAAAATGAATAATTAAAACATTATTTTAAAACCCTGCTTGCAGTTGAATTATTGCTGATCGTGGTATCAGGTGAACTGATATGACAAATTAAGCTGACTGAATAGTTACAACATTGAATTCTGATACAGTGTACCAAGTGTGCCAGATCATATCATCTTCATTGTGAGTCCATTGATCCTGTACAATAACAATAGAGTTATTGTTGACACTTTCTTGAAATGATGGGCATTTGACCTTTTTTCCCTCTCTTGTTTGCAGATGCTTCTGGCAGGGTGTTTGCCCATTTCCACAAAGTATATCCCAGCTAACGCACAGAAGTACATTGCTTTATTCAAATGACACATGTAACATTCCAGCTGATGAAAGTTGGGAAACACAACTACATTTCTCCTGCTTACAACTTCTTTGCATCTTGGCATGATCACACATAGTCTGTTTTTCTGCCATTGATATCATGTGGAGAAGTACCTGATGGAGAGAGGAAACCGCCCTTAAAATCTGATCCAGACCTCCATGTTTCCTAGAATTTATAAAATAGGAATTTTCTTTGACTTGTAGTCTCTTTGAGGAGATTGTGTTTCATTCAAAAATTCTGAAGAGAGCAGCCCCAACTGTTTGAAGAATAACTGTGGTCAGCTTCACACATGCTAAGCCATGATACATGTGTTGCATGAACATAGCCTTTTGGCATGCAAAAATGGTTTAGGGATTGTGGTACTTTCAACTGGGGTGGGGCTATAGCTAATATGCTGGGGTTCTGTTATTCTCTTCCCATTCAGCCCTGATCTGATGGCTAAGGTGATTGTACAGCTAGTTGTTCCTCATTACTAGACCTAACTTTGTGGTGGAAAGCTGCTTTTGAAATCACTGGAGTGGTAAGGGGCTTTGGTTGCCTCTTGAGTTTCTGTCTTTTGCCTCCACAGCCTGCATTTCAAATGGTAGGCCCTGTTCCTCATTGGCAACAAAACAGAGAATCCAGTTTCTAGTTACTGTCACAGGATTTTATCAAGAGAAACTGCCTTTCCTTAGCTGTCTTTCTCTATTATTCCCAGATTGTCATCCTGGGACTGCAGGAATATTATAGGTGGTCTATAGTTGTTTTCTTGGAAAAAAAACAAAAGGACAAACCTGCAAAATGAGCAAATCTAAAAGAGTTTCATAAGGATATTTTTTAAAATTGTTTATCACTGCTTTACAAAGAAAAAAAATCAAGAGCAAAAGCAAGAAAATAATTAAATAAATCCAAAGGACAGCTTTTTGAAATAAAAGATTGTTTTACAGTAAATGCGTATGGCCAGTATAATCTACACAGGTAGTTCTTAAAAACGGCAGAAATCTTATAAGGTGTCTGACCCAAAATCTTAAAACACTTCAGGTGCAAGAGAAAAAAAAAACATTTCAGAAGTTTTAGGTTGTTTTTAAAAGAAAGCAATCTATATTTTGCAGATCCAAATTATCTGGTTGCTGTCCCTTGGCTTAAAGGGGGAGTTCCTCAAAG